GTTGGCCATCCAGATATGATATCAGCCATATGTAATGCTCACTTCGATGGCCATGGCAAATTGAGTTAGTAGGGACGCAACTCACTGATGACCCCAACCCCGACCGCAACCGGTACGAGAGGAATAAAGCCTTTCTTCTCACCTTCACGATCTCTGTTTCCGTTTTCCTGATCATCCGCTTAACGAGAAACCATGTTCTATCTCCAACTGAAAGAATCTTGCAGTTACCATCAGCTGCATGATCACATGTGATATTAAGTGATATCTTCGCTTGTTTATGGCCCTGGAGTCGCTAAAATCTTGACTGGGATGGCATTCGATCTCGCCCTCCATTGAGGCAAACCTCAACAGCCGTATCATGATGCAGAGCATCACCATACACAGTTACTATTTTCGCCCATTCCTCTGATGAGTTAATATCCTCCACTTCCTCTTCGTCATCATCTGTTCCGCTTCGTCACTATCTGCTCCGTCAGAAGATGGTTAGAAAGCCTCTCCTTCAAAGTTACAGTGTTCTTGAATGAGTTCTCTACCCCTTGAGACTCCCTTCTTCATAGCTTGGAACAATCTTGGGATTGAAGTATCTTTACCTCAAAATAGTTTCTCTGCTTTCGGATGCGGTATAACAAGCTTGTTGCGAGAGTGGGCAACTGTTACAGGGATCAAACTTTTACCGAGTGCATCAAGCTCGAGGGAACGGTTTGATTTGCCCATGCCAACCAACATATCCTTAGAACACAGATTCGTTCTAATGCCTGCATGGAGGCCTATGCGCAGGAAAGCATAAAGTTTGCTCGCAGGCATCGGATGTAAACAGCCAGGGCATAAAGTGTTGATAACTGTTGTCAGCTGTTACACTGAGAATGTACAGCATCAGACCCTCGACTGTAATAATCGCATCATCAACATTTTTACAGACGTAGGCAGGTGGTCTTTCAATGGTTGTGTGAAGCTTAGGTGGCCCAAGGCGTCACCGCTGGATAGAATCTGGGTGGAAGCCCTGGGCCTGGTCTGATGTGAGGCTCCCGAACTTTGAAAAGGGGTACCGGTATCCTGCTGGTGCCCTCTTCCAGACACTCATCGGACAGCATGATGAAAGCCACTACCTCCGCGTGGTGAAGACTGGATACTGGACAGGGGGTCCAGGCTAAAGGCAGGACGGTCGACGGGTGACATTGAGCCCTGGAAGTTCAATAATTTGATCTATTGACTCCTTAACTCTTGGTCTACAAGAGGCTTTGAGACTCGTAAATCTTTACTGTGGATTGCACAGTAGCTAAAGAGGTGTTGGCTGTTACCCTGTTCAACCTAGTCTACTATGACTGGACCACACTCTGGTAGTCAGGATACGGCTCCTTATGCCCGGGGTACCGGGTAACGAGGTAGTCAGGGGAAGGGTTAGTCCCCGCTAAAGTGTAGCTCTGTTCTCACTCTAACCTCCTTATGCTTTGGGATAAAATCGGAGAGTCCCAGACTGGAGCAGGTGACGATTGGGTAAGGATTACAACTGATGCTGTTGGGTAGAAAAAGGAAGTGTCACATTTGTCTTGTATAGCATATGTTCGTGCAATTACATGCTCAAGATACCCAAAATATTATGGTGAGAGTTAAATATGGCTATTGTTCAAGCGGATGCCCTTAACCTTAGAGTTAAGAACACAATCCACTGCCAATGTGCAGGGGACTGCACAGGATTGTGAGCCAACTGAAAAGTCAAGATGAAGTTTATCAACAGCTTAAGGGTTAAAGCCCCTTATTTTTCTAGTGGAAGTGGTTGCCGGGGTAATTACGCTGCTATTACAGAAGCTGATGACTCGGTCTCCACAACACGACAACCTATTTCTACAGAAAGTCAAACAAGAAAACATCAAAAAAATATGAACACCAATTGCGTTGTATCATGTAAAAGGGCTGCTCAGGTTGGCACGTTTAACATAAGAACAGCCAGAGAACAGCACAAACGCATCGAACTTGAAGAACTATTTTCTCGAAGCAAGCTGCACATCCTTGCCCTGCAAGAATCGAACATCGGGTAGTGCATGCTGATTGCTGAGAATACCAGAATAGAAAAGATGAACAAAGGGATTCATCCAGTGATCTCATCTGCGTGGAGAAACACAGCTGGCGCTTCTAATGGGAGAGTAGGAATCATCTTGACGAGGACAGCATATATGAGGCTATAAGTCTTATAAAGTTATAAAATCTTACAGCGCAAGGATCCTCACCATGTCTCTTAATAGAAAGCCCAGGCTCACTGTCATCACATGCTACAGTCCTACAGAAGCCTCATCTGATGAGGAGGCAGGAAATCTCTTTTGTCTAAAACCAAGGATCTTACAGTTAATTTAGTAGGAGAGGAGCCACACACAATAATTTCTAAGGACGGACATGCCTTAGAAGAAGTTGAGGATTTTAGTACAACGGAGCACGACTTTAGGTTACGCAAGGCCAAGGCATGGGCTGCCCACTGGGAGACTTTGGGGCCGAAAACTGATCCGGCCCCCAAAGAGGAGTCAGATCACGTCACCAATTAGTGACGTATAATTAGTGATGTGATCCATCTGTAGAATGGATCACATAATTAATGTAATTAGAGTTCACATGTCAATTCTGTACAACATAGCTGTTCGCATTAAGAAGTAAACATGATCTGACTGCTCGACTCGTAGATCACATTAGGGACGGGAGCTCTTGCTAAAGGGGGGTTCTCGTATCAAGGGATGTGAGACGTACGTGTCAAAGGCTTGCAAGGGGAGTGAGCTGATCTAGTGTTCTAGGTATAAATATTGGGTGATAGAAGGTAGTAGTATCGCATTTAATTCTATCAACAGTCATGCCTACCTTCTCCAAGTTCCTCAACGGTTTCAGAGGATGTAAACAGGTGCTTGATTCTGACGGATATATCTACAGCCGCAATAAAAATGATGACACCGTCCTCTCCTCTGCTTGGCGTTGCCAGAAGAACAAATCCCTTAAATGTCCTGCCAAGTGCTATCTCGCTCTCACAGACAACACTCTTTCCCTTGGAAGTAAACCACACAACCACGATTCGGATCTGGCTACCCCACAGAGACTCGAATTCCTTACAACGCTCAAGAGGAAGGCTGCAGAACAACCCTGTCGGCGACTCAGAACCTGATATCAGAAGTCCTTGCTGATGCTTCAACAGAAGTAAACCAGACGCTACCTAATATGGAATCCCTTGGAAAAGTCGTCCAACGAGCCAGAGCTTCTGCCTCCGGATCTGCCAGCATACCGAGTCGAAGATTTCTCTTGAATTCGTTCTTCCTCCAAGCTGCACATCTACGAGAAGAGACGAACAATTTATCCTCTTTGATGGGAAGACTGACCGAGATGTGAGAATCATAGCCTTCGCCACCAACAGGAACCTTCACACCCTCGCAGAACACAACAATTGGATTGCTGACGGGACATTTTATGTCGCTCCGAAGATATTTCCCCAAAGTTACACCATACATTCGGTGATAGAAAACAAATGTCTACCATTAGTTTATACTAGCAGGAACCCGTCTTACCCTAAAGTGGTGTCAAGACTCGAGAGACTAAAATAATTATTACCTATTTAATTCGCGTTTTTGACACCACTTGAGAGTCCAAATTTTGGGCACTAAAATTATTATTCCTTGGCCAATTTTTTATTTTTTCATGCTGATTCGAAGGCCATTAAAGCATTTGACCCAGTCAAAAAAGTTTCAGTTGTATATCTTTTACGGTTTTTGCGGAAAGTCGCGTTAAAGTTGATGCCGTGGTGTCAGTAAAATAGCACGGATATATACACATATATATATATCGTCTCGCTTTATATATAGTAAGATTTTGACTGGTGATAAGAAAGGAGACACCTATTTTATAACCAACCAATACATTGTCTCAATTTAAAACATGTTCACTTCTTAAGTTGCCATATGAACTCCACCCCAGATCCAGCCCACCTCCAGGTCAATTACACTCAATCCATGGATCACATCACCAATTATACGCCACAAGCTTCAAGCTTGCATGTTAATTACTTGATGACGTATATGGTGGATCATATCACTTCGGCCCCAAAGTCTGGCAGCCGGGCTGCCTACCACAAAATGTAGGCTATATGGAGGTCCAATTTGCGCCGAGATTTAAAGATCCGTCTGTTCAAGCTACGATTGAATCAATCTTCCTGTATGGAACGAAAACGTGGACAATAACAGAATCTTTGAAGAAAAGAATAGACGGATGTTACAGTAGAATGCTTCGGATGGCCCTAAACGTGGACTGGAGAGGACATCGCACCAACAAGGAGGTCTTTGGATCACTCCCAAGAGTTATTTCGAAGATACAGGCCAGAAGAATGAGGTTGGCTGGGCACATCCAGCGACATGATGACCTGGCAGCACACCAACTTCTCCTTTGGGAACCTAGGGAGGGGTAGACCACCGCTCACCTTCGTCGATAACCTAATAAGTGACACTGGACTCAAGAACACTGGGGAGATTAAGGAGCTTATGGCGGACAGAAAGCTTTGGAGACACATCATCGAGAGTCGGACTCTGAAGCCGCCTTAAGTCAAGTAATTTAAGTCATGTGCTTTGACTTGCCTTGACCTTCGTCATAGCCTCCTTCCATGACAGGAGAACACATTTGCCACATTTGCCACATTTGCACTTTGTGCATTCATATGGATTATATCTCGATGAACGAGACATCCTGTTTGCTATCGTGATAACATACTATCAATATAAACACACTTATATACTATGTAAACTATCTATTAAGTTAAGACATGAGAACAACACGTAGGTAAGACTCAGTGGGAAATAATTAACATTCAATACAATTAATGAAATGGCTAGAATTTTGTATAAATTTTGTTTAAAAAACCCAAAAAAACCCAAAAAAACCCAATCCCAGTATTACCTTTTCTTGGGTAGGAGTTGGGTTTTTTTGGGTTACACCCCCCCTATCAATTAATAAAATAGAGCTTGACCAATTAAACAACATACCTGCAAGAGTAAAAGATCAGGTTGAGTGTGAAAGAATAGGTTTTGACTGACAAAGTATCTTGTAAGTAGATCCTGAGTGTGCGGCATGGTGGAACTGTGTGGGTCTCTCTCCAACAGTATCTGACACAAATTCACATGCGAGATCTCATTAGCGCCGTCCCTGTAATTTTAGAAATGTCTGGTATGATTAAAATGTAACGTTTGAGGGTCAGATCAACAACGTCAATGTTTAACATGTTTTGTAGTGTGCAGGGAGTGGCAAGCTCTGTCGTTTTGAGGGAGAGTTGTACAGGGTGGCCCGTAATTAACTAATGGTAATTAACATGGTGACATGGGTAGTGTCTAAGAAGCCCGACCATTTCTCGCGGAATTCTGCGGGAATTCCACCGAAATTCCTCGATATTTGTGGCTTTTCGTGTTTATGTGGAATGGTCGGGCTTCTTTGAAACGGCCTGACAATATGTTCTGTTGTACGAGCTGTTGGTACAAAGAATAATTAATGTTATTTTCACAATAATGCTGGGCTAACTTGTACAATTCTGGGGTGTATACTGTTAGTTGTATTGTATAAACGTATATAATATTGATATATGATATTGATATATTGATAGAATATATATTATATATATATATTGTCGATATAAAGTTCAATCACCTACATTACCAGATGTCAAGAAAAAAATATCTCTAGTGTAGGAGAACACTGTGCAATTTGTTACGTACATAATGTATAGTATGAGTATTGCTGAAAGCACTATGTTATGTATAATTAATGCACATAATGACAAAAGCAGTGTTAGGACATGTTGTTTAACGAGAGAGATACCTACACAAATTTCCTGGTTTGTATATAATACAGCAGCTGCAGTAGTGACTCTCTACAACACTTAACACTAACAATGAAACATTTACCACAAGAAACCTCACCAAAGTTCAACATGTAAAGTAAGAGTTCGTACCTGAATGACAGAAGAGGTTTGATATTGAATATCTCGGTGAATAAGACGTTCAGCAACTCCTCGGGCTCCTTCTCTTCATCCTCCAACCCAACTAAAGTAGAACTCTTGCTCATCAAGTCCCGTAATATCCTCATATGATCCGCCCCCACAAACCCACACTCCCGCAAGGGATTAACAACTGATTCTCTCAGTATTTTCTGTATCGTCTGATTAATGTGACCGTCAACGGGGGTCGACAAGATGTAGTCCATCGTGTTGGTAAAAGCGAACATTCCATATAAAGTTGCGTCTAAATAGCACGAGTTTTTATTTCCCTGTATACCTCTACTCCGGCCAATGTACATTGGGGATATGTACTTAGGGGGGTCTACCTTTCCCTCAATAACAGGACTTTCTTTTGGTCCGAAGTAATTTGTTTTAATTTCCGGCTGTACTGGCATTTCTTCAAATCGCCTGTCTTTCGAACAGTCGTGAAGATAACAGAAGAGAGCACGGAAGGGCGGGCATGTGAAATACCTCACTCCCTCATACATTCCATTGTTGCCAGGTGGTGATATCTCCTCCTCCAGCTCCAATCCAGCACACAGATACTTCTTACCGGGCAGGTGCCCAATCCAACGTAACACACCGTAGTGAACTACATTGCTTTTACTGACTTGTATCATGCTGCCAACTTCTAACGTGTAGTCTATCTCTGGAGGTGGGTCCGGGGTCTCGGGAGCCAGCTTGGGGCTGTACGACCTGGCTTTAGTGGAGGCTAACTCTACTCTTTGAGAGTTATCTAACATTGAGTCCTCAACAACATTACTGCCACCAGCTAACGACAGTGTGTTTATACTGTGAACTAAATCAGCAGGTAGTTTATTGTTCGAGGGAGTGGGAGAGCGCATTCTGAAGGCAGACTCAAAGTCATGTTTGGGTGACTTGACGCGGGCAGGTTTAGGGGAGCGGGGTATGGGTTGCTCACGTGACTGGGTGTTACTGACGACAGGGTGGGAGTTAAAGGTATCGTTGTAATTGGGAGGTGGGCTGGAGAAGTCGTTGGAAACAGTTCCTGCTGTGACTTGTGGAGGAGCTCCGTAAGATGCTGATCTGTTGTGATTAGGTTGAGAAGCCGGGGTGGGACTCTGGACTCGGGGTGATTCGTAGTAGTGTTTGGGCATTGCCTCGGTTGTGTCACAGAATATACCAAACCGAGCTTCACATGTGAACATCTGCCGACCCTTGTACATTCCGTTGCTGTCTCCCACAGGGTTGTCTAGTTCTATACCTAATATCCACTGTTTTTTTGCGTCCTGAAAATAGAAAAATTATGTTTCATCTGGGGAGGTGTATGGATTTGACGCGTCATTCTCTTTTCTGAGAGTAAACTTTGGAGGGATCGAGTTATAATGGTAGAAATGGCCAGAGAGTTATAGTTGAATTATTGTTGAAACCTGAAAGACAGCTCTGACGACGCCGGGTTCTGCAGGTAACTTCTTCTTTAGTACTATCACCTGATCTCCCTCACAGAAGTTACACGTCACCTGATCTGAGAGGAAATTGTAGTGACAAATTACAGATCAATAATAAGCATATAAAAATATGTTATAAAAGTATGTTATAAAAGTATGTTATAATAGTGTGACATGTAATGATCTCTTGCCAAATAACCTCCCCGCTATCCAATGTTGTGCTGTTCAAAGACGTGGCTTCTAAATTCTAAATATATCTATTATGCAAACTTCAGGAGAGGCAGGTCTTTATACGTATGTGACACACAAAGTAAATACAATTCTAATGTTCACAGCAGTACAGTGTGTTCAATAAATGTGTCATGGAGGACACTTCAATGCTGATATATTGACTCGGACGGACGCATCCACGCAACCACCCACCCACCCACCCGCCCACCCACCCACCCACCCACCCACCCACCCACCCACTTCAGTATAGTAGTAGTGTAGCTGACAAATACAAGTGACAAGACGTGTAGATAGCTGATAAAACATTTTGATTTGACCATATGACTTTTCACTTTAGTGGCAGTAAATGTTTGTTGATTGATTGATTGATTGAGGAGCACTACCCGGAGGCATTACTCGGCACTAAAGCCTTAAAATATTTAATTACAATCAAATATAAATATACGCACACATGTATAAAATATGATATTGCTATAAGCGAATTTTTAAATAACATTTATCTCTTGACATAAATTTAGAACAGCAACTGTACCAAATTATTTAAATTTCTAAAAGTACGAAATTTGAATCGTTTCAGTCCTTGTCATTCGGCTCAAGTGCTTGTGCAATGTGCAGTAAGCAGATTCTTGTTGACTGTAGACTTGAATGAATTTAAGAATTTGTCTTGTAGGCAAGTCGTGATATAATTTATGTCCTTGTTAATAAAGTTGGCCGTTTTGGTTCGTTTAGTGGCAGTAGATGTTTGTTAATGTTAAGATAAGAACCGTGTGAGAAATTATAATTCTTTTGGCTCCTCTTCCTGAAGGAAAATGGGAAATAATGTCTTTTGAAAATATAATAACATGAGAGATGGTTATATGATGATAAAAGCTTTGAACATATCATAACATGAGAGATGGTTATATGATGTACAATGAACATATCATAACATGAAAGATGGTTATATGATGATAAAAGCTTTATGACGGACGTTCGAACAAGTTCGTTTCATGATCGATGGTAAAGAAAGTTAAGCTTCTGCGGTAAAAGCTTTTCTTAAGAAGAATAAGTCGAGATGTCATAATGCAGCCATTAGTAACGATCAAAAAGCGAACTCAGCAACGTGATGACTGACACATATTTTACTAATTAGTTTCTTAAGTTTTAGAAAAAAAGGCTCGGACGCAGGGACAAAAGGATTTCGCGGCGATTTTTGCCAAAAATCGCGATACCGCGAAATACCGCGAATTACATTTCGCGGTATATTAAACTATACATAAAATTTGTCGCGGAAAATGGGAAATTTCGCGATTTCGTACATGCCGCGAAATCCTTTTGTCCCTGCTCGGACGAGATAAGGTATCTCACCAGAGTACAGTGAGCAATTCAACACAGCATCCCGATAACCATTATCAAAGTCACCAAAAAACATTCCCAGCACAAGAAAGTGAGATGATTTCCAAGAAGTGCAGAAACGAAAACGAACAAAAATGCGACTGAAAACATGTACGATGTCTAGTCTATAAAGATGGTGTACATTGAGGCGTGCAAGCTGAGCCGAGCACGTTAATTCGGTTTAAAACTTAGCTCGTACAGTACATTCTTAACATTGAGTGCATCACTTGAACCTTCAAGCAGACGATCATATAATGCAGGCAGTTGCAGGAGTAAACAAAAACAGTCAACTTTAAATAACACAAACTCTATAGTATAGACTATAGAGTCTATACTTCACGTTGTTACTCGACTGACGTTATGCATGTGACCTTGACGGTTTTGTAAACTCTTATAGTATTCTTAAAAGCTTACTTGATTTCGGTTCAGATCTTCTGGCTCGAGCACTGGCAGGGAGAGTTTTAGATACTTTGGTCAGGGTTTTGTCTTTAATATCCCCCATGTTGCTCAACATGGATAGGGTTGAGTCTTGAAGGGAATCCGATCCTGTATCAAATGTTTATTGCAATTTGTGCAGTAAAGGTGTGGTGAAATAGTGATTAACGGTTGGTAAGTTATAATATTAAACATAACTGATTATGTGTGAAGACAGTGGAAATCAAACCCTTAAACTTAGTGCAACGTTATTAATTAATTAATTCATTAACAGTCTCATATAAAATAAAACTATGTAGCAGAACTTACCTTTGATAGATATCTCATCAATAGTAGCAAACACAACAGAGCTAACAGGACAGCGCTCCATGTAGAAGACTCCTTTGATAGATCCATCACTATCACCACAACCTAAAATTAAATATCATCAATAAAAACGTGACACACTCTATTAAAGGCTGTTATCTTACCCAACTAGCGTGTGAAAGACGAGAATTAGAAGAAAATCATCAGGAACAGAAATATTACAATGAAGTTAGCTACCTGCAGCTAGACCAACAAGTTTCAGGCCAAACCACACTCCTAGTCGATCCTTGATCTCACCTCTGTACTTCAGCTGCAGAGAAATTAGGGTTAGTCAATTTTTCCAATTAGAGGAAGATATATTTATAATTTAGTTGTAAGTATAATAATGGGCAGTTTCAATGTTAAATTATTTTACATGATCGGAAGGCAAATCTAGTCGATGTTAAACAATCACCCTTAACAAGTAGTTCTAGTTGTTAAATGTCATGTTCTTTTACTTAACCTTTCATTTAGGCATTGAGTGAAGACGAGAAGTTTAATAAATTAAAATCTAGATGTTAACAGTGAAGACAGACCTCTCCCACTACAGTCGTATTCTGTCTACCTCTGCTGATGTTCACAAGAGATCCCATTGGCAGTGTAAGTAGCATCTTGTCCAGTTTTGAGAACGCCTCATAGCGGCGTGAACAAGGGATTACCGGAAGCAAGAATTTAACTATGTCGTAGGGAACCTATAGATTAAAAAAAGCTGAATGAAACTATAAGGAATTAATGAGTTGCTGTAGCAATTAACAAAAAACAAATTTGAACTACAATTAAAAAGGTGTGAAAAACAGTAAAACAATCAACCCACCGTCTTTAAGTTTTTTTCGTGACAAGTATAGACTTGAGAAGAATCCATGAGCAGAGATATGGTACATTCTTCGCCATGACTACTGATTACAGTGACTATTTCTCCCTTAATAAGCTGACCAGTCCCATGACCAGTGGGGATGGGAATCGCCTTGCGCAGCAGGCATACTTGCTGCGCAGGGAGGCTAACTGTCATGGTCACTCTGCCATGCCATAGTGTCTCTTCAACAGGACTTTGGTTCCTTGTACTAGATCATTTCTTTTTCCTACATCCTGAAATATGTAAACATTTTAATCACTGCCACATGCAGTCATTGAAAACAACGTACAGTTTATTTTAAAAGTACCATAGTTCAATAAATGTGTAACCATCAAAGTGAGTTTAAATGAACATTCAGAAGAAAAATTTGGTTCATAGTAACTTGAAGATATTTTGCAAGGGACGAAAGAATAAACACCCACATGGAACTATTATTTTGAACTATAAACTGAAGTAGTGCCTGCAAACGAAACCAGTTCCTTGCTCTACAACATTACCCTGCGAAGTCTCGTTACACTCAGCCTACTCAGCAAGTCCACTCATAATGGAAGGACTTCTTGAGCAAATTACGGGTTTGAGGCCTGCTTTTTTACAATCAGTGTCAAAACGTACTTGTGAAAAAAACCGCCCCCTGCATAGCGAGGGTGGTCGTGTTGCCTCTGAGTACAAGCAACCCTCGGCCTCCAGTCGACTAATCTGATTTAACGGAAAATCCGTTAGTGAGGGTTAAACGAGGAGCAGCCTGCCACAAATCTAGAATCTCCTTAGGGTAAACTGTGAGCATACTTTACTATACTGTATTGATCTAGTAAATAAATTATGTCGAAATGATGCTTCATTCATTTACAACCTGCCTATGAGTCAGATGAAACCTGTGCGAAACAATTAACTACTCATAAGTTCAAGTCACCATACCCATTTATCAAAAAATAATTGGTTCTCTCAATTCTTCCTAGTCCTTCAAGCGAACCATTCCAAAATAACAATTTAGCTATTGAAAATGGTTCTAATCAATTTTGCTTTTTCAGAATGGCGGAAATTAGAATAAAACCATTTTATTAGGTTCCTACACGTCGATTTCGGTTTTAACGGTTGGAATTGAAGTTTAAACGGTTATACCTTAATTACAATCCTAACCCTTACCCTAGCCATAACCCAATCCTGTAACACTAACCCAAAACCAGTCAAATTTGCATTTAACTGACATGTCACGTGACCAACTAAACACAGTTTCGATTTTTTTCCTCCGGGGTTCGTGTTTTTTATTTCGTGGAAGTAATTCGGAATAAACGTCCAAAATACATCGAACAAAAAATAAATGCGTATGTATCTAGATACATTTTCGAAGATAAAGTAGGTTTTCGAACACTTTTATGAAAGCGCTCGATTTGATTTGACTAAAATGTTTAAGCGTGCGCGGCACACTTGCAACTTGAAAGATTTCGACGCGCCGCGCGAACTATCATCCTTATTTGTTAATTTACGATGTCAATTCATCGCAGCTCGGCGCGGCACAGTAGCGCATCTCGCCGATGTCGCTGCGTGAAGCCTCATTGAGTGTGCGGCGCGGCACAGTAACGCATCGCGCTACAACCTTATTTGCTAGTTACTTCGCAGATCGACGATTTAATTCGGACACTCATGGAAGGATTGACACGTCAATCTAACTTTGTAGGTTTATAACCTACCAGGACGCGCGCTGAGTCGGACTCGTAGACGGTCCTAATATTTGGAAAAATATTTTAAGAGTATCACCCTCACCCGTTAAATCTAATAAGTGGCACACTAGTACATTTGATTTCATGTTATAATTATTAGCGTATATATTGTAGCGCGATGCACTGCTGGGTCGCGTGCGCATCAAATAATGCTTCTCGCAACCACAAATGCAGATCGGCGAGATGCGAATCGGCAGATCGGCGAGATGCGAAGGATTGACATCGTGAATCAAGCGTATATATTATTATATGGAAGTGAATCAAATCAATTTATTTTTGCACACTGATTCTAAATCAACTCATTCCTTATTATATTTTTATTCCTTAATCCTTTCTTTAAAATTGTGAGCAAATTAATTCATAATTATTTTTTGTTAAACTCGCTTAGCGTGCACGACAGATGTATTATTTGACGGATGTTACTTGTAGTTGTCTAAGTTTCTTAGCTTAGCTTCGAAGTAGCGCGCCGCTTTCTTCTCGAAATGGCAAGTGCTACGAAGTAGCGCGCGCCGGGCCAAACCATTTCACATACCTTACTCGGGAATATTATAGCGGGTTAATTTATGACTGGGAAAATTAATGACCGGGAAAAATATGGCGGACTTTCCCAAAACCCGCCAAATTATCCCGGTCATGAATTTACCGATGGGGCGGTGGCCGACCTTTCAAGGTTTTTTTCAGAGGTCAACAAATTTTCAACCGGAATTACTGTTTTTGTTACTTGTTAAAGAAGTTATTTCAATTTACAGTTATTGATATTACTCAGAAATAGAAAAAAAACACGTCTATTTAAAGGAAGCAAGTCAAATCTTCATTAAAGCGTATCCTCATTCTCATTATCGCTTATGTCCCCTTGTTAGGGACGTGTGTAGTACCTCAGAACTAGAAGTTAAGTTGAACCCCAGTATGCTGCGTTATAGTAGTAGTAATTAGATTTGTAAATATGTGGATTAAAATGGTAAATAAACCATGTAAATTTGCAAATATTCACCGTAACATAAAGTGTCATAAAGATGAATTAGGTGAGAACTTATATGATTAAGATGAATTAAGTGATCATGTATATGATTAAGATCTGATTGGAGAGATTTGCAGAGCACTGCACTTGCAGCCATTGGTCAGAAAGGACATTTAGTGTTATTAGAATTATTTATAAAGAAATTATTGGATTAATAGAGTTATTGAATTCATCAATTAGTGGAACGATATTTTAACCAGTTTTAAAAACCGGTATTTGTATTAATAAACCTGTTTGTTTGTAATAACCTGTTTGCAATAACCTGTTTGTTTGCAACTCTCCTGGACAACGCGTGGACCGCCTCTTCCACTGGAGCTCCTCTTCCACAGAACACCTAGACTACAAAAGATGAACACACAAGATTCTCACGGCCGTCTGCCTTTAGCCTTTTCCCGAACGCCTCTCCAATGATTGGTTTTCCTTACACGGCCCGGGGTGTTAGTATGCTGCGCTCTCTCCCACGTCACTATTTTCATAAATAGATTTTCCTAACGTCATGCCAGATCATTGTAATTGGTTCCCGTCGCTTCTGTTGAAGCCTGATAGGCTAGGAAGTTTGTTCCTCGAGGTAATATTGTGGTGACCCTATCCTACCTTGTCCTAACCTTAGCAGCACCTACATTATTACCTCGACAAACCCCTCCCACGGATTGTGCCTCGTTCCCAGCCGTTAGAAACTTAGAAAGAATGTAGGAGAGAACGAGGGCAAATCACGTGATCCTAGAAGCTACCTGTCCATCGTCCAGAGAGAGAGTCAGCCAGCCCCGTTATAATACACACCAGTTCCCGTTGATCACCCAGCTACCCAACTGATTTAGGGTAACGGACTTTACCATGAGATTGAACACTTATTTTATGTACGATTGGATTGGTCTTGCATTATTTTACAATCCTTAATCACTTGTTTTAATTGGTTATCTTCCAGATATAAATTCATCTAAAAGTTCGAAGTTAAAACTCTAGACATAATTTTCCCTAAAAGTTCGAAGTCCATAATTATAACATAAATTCCTGTCATAAATCTACCATTGTACACTGAGAGTTTGGGTTTGAACTATGCCCTGAGTGAGTCTCAAACCGGGAGGTATTCCATAATATCGGAACCTGAATATCCATACTCTAGTTAAAAGGAGCCCATTATACGTAGTTAAATTAATACCATCACAATTTAATGAAATATAATAAATAAATAATCTCTAGAAGTCATGGAAAATTGGAGCAGTAAATAGGCCGTTAAGTAAGTTGTCGTGCTGAACCCGAGTACGCCTCTTAACACCCCTCTATTATCATTATTGATATCCCCTGCTGCTGACAATGATTGACGATGTCAACCCATCGAGATTGTTGCTCTGCGAAGCAATAATGCTAGTTCGCGCGGCGCGTCGAATGTCGAAGCGGCGAAGTCCTCCAACTGCTGACCGTCAAATTCGAAGTCGTATTGTTGTCTTAACAAGACTTTCATTTTGTCTGCTAGTGGGGCTACTGCTCTGAAGGTCAGCCGGAGCTTGATTTCCTGTCCACCGCTTGGTATTGGGGAACGTCTTGGCTTTGCATCTTCAACTGCTCCAGTAATCAATCCACCGTGGACCATGAAATAGTGGCACAGTTTACTCACTTCTAGCGTGATGTGGCCACAATTTACTTTAACGGGGAAAAGTCCCTCTTTCTTTAGTCTACACACTGCACACGAGAGCGATCTTTAGCGACTCAGCTGATGTCTCTCACTCAACTGTTACACGCTCTCCAGGTTCCGCCTTTGTCTTAACGGGTGATACTCGTAAAATATCTGTTCCATATATACCGTCGACGAGTCCAACTCGGCGCGCGTCCTGGTAGGTTGTAAACCTACAACCTTTGTCCAGTCAGTAGCTTTGTAAACAATAAACATGACAATCATTTACAATTGTAATATATTAAGAAGAACTACGGCCCGAATTATTCGTAAGCCGTGAATAAAAGGGAAAAGCGAACGACCGATTTCATTCTCGGTATCATTTTGCATTTGCGGACGGTCATTCAAATTAATATTTCCGTTTGTTTGGGAAAGTTAGAAAGCACGAGCGAGCAGCGGTCCACTCTACCCATGATTGATGATTATGGGTTTTGGTCAAATTTCTACAACCAAACTGTGATTTTTATAACGAAATTATGGTAGCAACAGCCAATAAAGTTACAGCCCTCCATCCACTGCTTCAAAAGTCTTCTCTAGCACATATAATATGAGACTTCAGGTAAAATACGATGATCACCACCCCCTTGGAACCCCATAATCTGACTCGGCGGATTTTTATTATGACTGTTAAAATTTTTGACCGGGAAAAATATGGCGGAATTTTCCAAAACCCACCACTTTATCCCAGTTATAATATTCCCGAGTAAGGTAAATAATGTGTATTGTGTGGTTTAAAGTTATCTACATAAAATCAAACTAAAAGAAATGCCCTTCAAAACTTATTTCACATAATTGATAGTGCATTATATTACCATTAA